GAGCGCTTTAGACGCTCAGCTTCGGTGCTCAGCCCTTAGGTATCATGTGTATGAGGCCTGAAGCCACAATTTTCTTATATTTTAGGCTCAGGAAAAGCTTTTTTTTCCCCCTCCTTCTTCCTCCAGTCTCTCTGAGTTCAGTCCCTTGTACTTTAGTTGTTTTCATGCTGATGGTGTTGCTTACACATGTGCTATTGCTCCACACATTACACACCAGAATGTCACCAGGGTGAACTTTTGGTGTTCTAGATGATGAATTTCCTGCAGAGGCTTGGATCCAGATCTGAGCCTTGGTTGTCAGAATGACAATTGATGTGTAAGGAGTCATGGCATTAGGATAGATGACAATTGGATTTCATGTGCTTTCTGTTCTGTGCATGTTGGATTTTCCAAGGGTTTTGGAGGCAAAGTGGCTGCTGCTCTCTTGCATGTGTTTTATAAGGCATATGGGCATGCTGAAACAACAGTACATGAGTTTTGGACCCAGCAGCCATAGCTCTGGCTTTGTGAGTTTGAAAACTGTCTGGAAACAGGACTTCTTGGAGTTTAGCACTGTTTTTCTTCTTTCCTTGTATTGCTGCCATCATGTTTGTCTCTAAGCAGGAGGATTCTGATTAAGTCACGGTATACCTTCATTAATGTGGAGGTATGGCAGCTCCCTAAAGTTTCATATGAGTTCTTATTTTTCATGTGGCGAGTAATTACACTCATGCCTCCAGAGGGTTGAGGAAAGAGCAGTGCACAGAAAGTGCTGGATATGCATTTCAAAATTCCCTGTGGAAGCCTGTCTGATTAGACTTAACGAGGTGGCTGGTGCTCACACACACGTGTGTGTGTGTATGTGCTTTTGCCCCTTTTCTCTAGCAGACAGGATCAGAAGTGTTCATGTGTTTTAGGTAAATCGGATGAGTATCTGGTAGGGATGTTCTTGCACTTGCAGACTGCAGGTTTGCAGCAGACTTTACCTGCTTTTGATATGTCTCTGCTCTAAGTAGAGATTTCTATAGTGGAAGTGAAGCATTTGGTTCTGCAGGTGGTAAGTTGGCAGTGAGGTTTGCTGTGGTTTCAGCTGCTTGGGTGAGGAGGGATGGGAGCAGAAAGTCTTCGATATTTGATACTCTGTCCTCCGCTGCAGACTCTGAGCCATCAGTCACAGAGCGGCGGCAGAATTACAGTAGGTCACAGGACGTGTGCCACCAAGCTACTAGGGGAAGGGTTTAATTTGACCCAAAAAGAAGAGTCACTAAGAGGCAAATAACAACCATCATGTTTGCACCTTGTTATGTCCTGGGTCCACTGCCCTGGCTGCTTTCCCACCCCTCCGTTGCTGGAGACAGCCCTCAAATGGCTGCGTGTAACTTGGCTTTTTTGCAGGGGTCACGGCCATGGGTCAGTGCTCAGTTTCCAGGAAGGACCAGTCTGGGTAGGGAGCTGTGCAGAGAGGGTGGCCATTTTAATGAGGGATTTCTCTTTGTGTATTTTTTTTTTAATTAACCTTTGTTTTCTGTCAAGAAAGCTGTCCCGAGGCACGACTTACTGAGGCAAACATGCCCAGACAAAGGGAGCATTAAGCCTGCACAGAGGGAGGGGAGAGGGTTACACCTCTAATTACTTTGTGTGCCTGTGCTTTCCCCCCCTTCTCTCCCCTATGGTGACTGATGATGGGTCTTGAAAAGACTTGCTCGATTTGGTTTATGATTCACTGGGGCAGAGCATGTTCTCAGCGAGAGCTGCGGGCTGTCGAGGGCAGGCGATGCTCTCGCGCAGGTATTGCTCACGCCTGCGTCAGCGCTTCTGCCGTGTGGCTGCTCCCGTGCTGGAGGTCAGTCTGCAGGTTTTGGGAGCTCCAAACCCGGGAAGGACGGGGAGGAATGGTTTTGCTATCGCAGCCTAGGCTCCTGCTGCTGTGAGAACCAGTGAGCAGCAGCCCCCAAGCCACCTGACCTGCCATTCCCATCCCTCCCTCTGGCTTTCATACCTGGCCCTGGAGCTCATGGTGGACATGCAGGGTCTCCTGAGCAAAATGAGTTGGCCAGGATGAGAGTTTGGGCTCATTACATTCACATGGGAAACAGGAAAAGGGAGAAAGGGGAACTGGAGCAGAAGTGGAGGTGGAAATTGGTGAATAAGCAGTTGTGGGGTTAGTACTCAGGGGAGAAGACGAGAAAGTGTGGCTGTGCCGGGGGGAAGGGGGTACGACTTGCAGAGTGGCTGCAGGGCTGGCCTTGAGGCCAGCTGGCCAGGAGGGCTTGGCAGGGAATCAGGGATCTGGTTTTAGGCAAATGGTGTAAAAATGTAGAATTCAAAGAGGAGCTCCAAAGCCAGTGAGCTTGGCTCCTAAAGATTCCCCTGAAGCAAATGCACTCAGGGACTGCTGCCATTGAGGAAGGGTCATTTTGGCCATTGCTGAGGGTATGTTATTAGTCCCACCAGCTTGGGGAGTGGTAGGTGCTGCAGGGTGTTGAGGGCATCTCTTCTGCCAAGGCTAGTATCAGCAGCCTCCCCTCCCGGGCAAGGAGGGCCAGGTGTAGGGTCCTGGTGGCAGCCAGGCATGGGTATGGACATGCCTGAGAGCGAGTGCTGGGGAGGGATCATGTCTTGCTTGCACTGCTGAGGAGAGATTCTTCCAGTTCTATCACTGTAGGAGATGGGACGCAGGGTGAAATGGGCCTCTGGTCTGGCTGCTGTTAGGGTTGTATGGGAATGCATTGACATCAGTATTCCCTAGGCCCACTGGGACAATGTGACTAGAAGAGATTAGTACAAAGCTATTTTTTGCACATGGAAAAGGCCTAGTCATCCTGTGGCTGCCAGATGATGCAGAGGAAGGGGCCCTTCCTCATCCAGGGATGCTTCAGGTTTGTGTCTTGTAGCTTGAGATGTGGCTTCCCCCACTTGTCTGTGAATGCTGTCCAATAATTTGAGTAGAAATTGCTGTCAGGACTCTCTTTTACAGCCTTCCCTCCTTCCTTTTACCAATTGCTCTTCCCTGCTGGGAGATGATCCCATATTCTAATAAATCTCTCTTAATGTTTTAAAGAAAATATTTGTCAGCAGACTTCCTGCTCCCATCAGGAATATCTCTTACATTGTTTTCATTAATGAAAACAATTTCTCCAGCAAAAGGGAAGGAGCATCTTAGCCATTTTGAATAAATTCCTTGCCCAGCCAGGGTGGGGAAATCTTTGTCTCCAGTGTTGCCTGTTTGACAGAGAAGAGCTGTGGGAACCCAACAATGGAAGCTTCATTGCATCTTGCAGATTGCAACAGGCTTACAAGCAGCTCTTAAAAACAAAAACAACAGCAAAAAAACCCGAAAAGAAAACAACCAAAAAACCGTCTGGGGGTTCTTTCGTTGAGTAGAGCTGAGAGACTGTGGCAAACTACCTCTTTTGCAGGAATCCCTTTTGGCTTGAAAGGAATTATTCATGCAGTTATGCAATCCATGTTGAATTTTCAATTTGTCACAGTTTTCCACTGCTCCCCTCCCCCTTTTGTTCACGAGCCCAACTGGGCTCCTACTGAGTCTCTCCATTGACTGACGTGCTTTAGAAACAGTCCTTATGTGTACTGTCCAGATCCGGTGACCCTCCACGTACCCGGATCTCTTCCTGGAGCAAGTGGCTGCAGAGCAGATGCAGGTCCAAAGTCTCTCCTAGCTTAAGGTTACCCCCGCTAGGAGGGAGAGCCATCATTTTTCATCAGGAATTCTTTTCTGAAAGCCTGTGGTTGCCTGGTGTCTCGGCTTCTCTCTGTGGATCTGTGTGGGAAAGTCACTAGCATTTCTAAGTGATTCGCATTCCTTGCAGGAAGAAATCTCAGAAGCGGAGAACTGTGTGATCCTTTGGAGTCATAAATCAAACATGATCCAGGAGCAAAGGTATTGGGGAAGAGCTCAGGAGCCTTCGCGTTGCTTCAGTAATATTGGCTTGAATAGGCGATGACTGAGCTCTGCGTTTTACTTTGCTCCGAGAAATTTAGATGCAGGAAGGAGTTGTTCCCTGCTCATGCTGACATAAGAAAGCCCTCTGGTCCTCAGCCTGCCTGCAGAAGGGACCTTACCGCTGACACTTGTCAAATCTCAAATATGAGCCTACCTATACTACACAGTTTAACATCGCAGTTTGGCACTTATTCCTGATTAGATCTAGGTTAAAAAATAATCCTCCACATCTAGGTGGTAGGGAAGCTGCATGAGGTTGATAGGCTTGAATGTATGTGTTGTCGTCTCACAGTAACGTGTCATAGTTTAAAAAGATAAGTTACCCTGTTTTTTTTGAGAAGGTTACCTCCTGTCAGCTGAGGAAGGATCATTGATGACAAGCCTGCCTTAGCCTAAATCATCCCCCATGCTTGAACTAGTCATATAAACTGCTTAAAATTGCAACAAGGGGTTGGATCTTTTGAGATGGTTTGCATGACTCTCATCCCACAGAGAGCACAGACTGAGAGTGCTGCATGTGGGTGATTACTGTGGCTCCGCTGATGAACTGCAACCCAGGAGGCAACTTTGAGTTTGCGGACACCCTGTGCTTTCCGGGCTGCCATCCCAAACCTTGTCACAGCAGTGCTGCTAGCAGTGGGGACATTCAGATGTGCACTGCCACACTATGTTGGGGAACGCTCATCCCGCGACCTTTCTCTTGCTGGTTGCAGAGTATCTGGAATGGGTAAACTGAGATAGAGTTGTCCTGAAAGACTGATAAACATATATTTATAATATATATATAAGTAATTTAAAAAAAATATATCCTATATACACATATAGGTCAATATTTTTCCCCCTTCTTTCTCTCTGTCCCCCTGCCATGCCACACTACCGTGCATCGCCTTCCTTTCTGCTTGTGCGCTGGAGGAGAGGGGAATCTGCACTGCTAGGTGGTCTCGTGCTGAAGGAGCTACGCTCAGCAATGCCTGCGCGTGGCAACCGAGCAGAGTCAGTGTGGGCAGTGCTGCTGCGCATGTGAGCTCTGATTCACTGCAGTGACGTAAATGTCCATGGAGTATGGGCTGCGGCTGAGCCACCACGGTGGGGGTAACGTGGATTTTTCCCTCCAAATCCTCTCAATTGATACTTGGCAAAGATCAGTGGAGGAGATGTGCTTTGAGGAGGGAATAGAGTGATGAAGAAGGTAACGGAAGTGTGTGGGGGTATTTTGTGGGTTTTTTTTGTTGTTTTTGTTTGATTGGGGTTTTCTTTGCTTCCACAGCTGGCTTTGCCATCTAAAGCATGTTTCAATTCCTTGAAAGCTCCAGCAGAGAGAATAATAAGAACTCGCTCGCTGTTCTTGTTTCCGGGTGTTCAAGCCTTGGAGATGCACAAACATGGTGCAGTAGGGAGATCTAACAGGGGTGTGTGTCTCCCGGTGTCGCAGTCAGCCTGAAGGACTGTAGCTTTCCAGCCAGGTGGAAAGAGCGCAGTGTTGAAATGATCCCAAAGGTCTAAACTTCAGCCTTTGGGTTCGTGGAGCGTTGTGCAACTGGGGGGGGGGGGGGAAATAAAGTAGAGCAAAGCAAATCAACCTCTTCCTAAAGCCCGCTTTTGCTGCTCTCCCCTGGTGCAGAGCAGGCCTGGCATCTGACACCCCCATCTTTCTCCTTGCTGGTTTCTGTTACTAATTTCTCTTGCTGCAACAAGTGTTAAAATCCCAGCTGCTAAGCAGCAGGCCTGGGCTGTGTTTCAACCCACCCCCCTTCCCAAGGGCTGTTGACGTGCCTGTGCTTGCGTCCTTTGTGTTTGTCCTCCGTCCTGACGCGGCTTTTTCCTTTTTCTCGCTCCTCTCCCTCTCTCTCTCCCTTTCTTGAAGGGTTCAGGCTGGGGATGTGACGTGTTTTTTAGGCCTGTCAGCCTTGGCAACGTTTCTTGAAAACTACCACAACCTGAAGAGAACAGAAAACTTGCAAGAATATTTGAATTGCTGATTTGTTTGATGGCTGAGATGTCACGGGGGCAAATATTGCTCCTTGCAGGCATGGCTAATTGGAGTCAGGAGGTCTCTCACATGGAGAAGTTGCCCGAATTCCTCGTTTGCGGTGTGGCCAGCCCCAGGCGCTGGCCAGCCAGCGGGGGTCCCACTGACCCTCTGCTCTGTATTTTGTTTGTTTCCTGAAGTTGCTTTTAAGTGAACTCAAACTTACTTCCCTCTGCTTGATCCAGCCCTGTCCCTGCGTCTCCATCACGTGGGACGCGCTGGAGCCCCGATGCCGTGGAAATGCCTGGGGGTGCGGTGAGCTCGGTATAGCTGGGAATCTCATTTGGTTGTCTGGAAAAGGCATGGGAAAGCCAGGTGGGGGGGTTGTGACTGCCTCCTTCACCCTACTCTGAGCCTGGCTGGTATTTGGGGTGAAACGTCCCGTACCTGGGATGGCCGTCTGTCGGGCTGCTGCTGTGCTGGCACCTGCGTCTGCAGGGACAATGTCGCCTTTCTGCAGGCGGCAGCTGGGGGCAGGCGGCGAGCAAGCCTTGCTGCTGGCTCTGCGCGGCGAGCACCTGGCTTTTTGCTTCGCCACAGGCCACTCTCTAATGTGCCTACCCCCACTCGCTCCGTCCTCCACCCGAGTCCCTGGGGACGGGGAGGGCCAGGACTGCCCTGCGCTGCTTTGGGACTTGCTGCTGCAGCTCTGAGTGGCTTCGCTTAGTACAGGCAAGCACACGTGTTTTGCAAGGTTGGCTTCCCCTCCTCTCCTCCCCTCCTCCTTTAAAATCTCCAAGTATTGCATTTTTGATCCCAAGCTGTCTGCCCAACATGCACTTTGTGCATCCGGAGTGCTTACAGCTGAAGAGCAGATCCTGCCCCCTTAACATCTCAGTGGTGGTGACTCCTGTGTGGTTTGCTGCACTGTGTTAACTCTCTAATGAGAGCATCTGGGGGGATAAAGTCCATCGTGGTCCCTGTTTAGCTCTTGCGCTCAGTAAAGATTTCTGTTTCTTGTTTTAAAGCAACCTACTGGCTGCTCCCATTTTGAGCCTGGCTTTCTTCCAAATGAGCCATGTGTGTGGGCACGTGTGGATTATCTTTGTCTCTATGGCTACCCTTAAAACTTTTCAACCAGCAAATTGCTGGAGGGATCAAACTCTCAGAGATACTGGTTTTCTACAGCTTTTGTGAAAATAGTTGCTGTGTGAATGGGACTTTACTTTGTCTCTGATGGCTTATAGCAGAAACTCGGCCAGTATTAGACATCAGAGAACCAATGATCTCTCAAGCACAGTGTCAGAAAAGAGCTACGTTTTTAAAAAAAAAGGGCTTTGTTAGTTCTATCACTCCAGTGTATTAATATTAATTAGGTCATTTTACTAATTATCTGTACATCTGCCTATGAGGGGCAATTGATGGCTTGCTGATGGGTCCCAGCTGGAAACATTAGAGCATGAGAAACATAGACTTCATGAGTCACATGTAGGCAGGAGGGGTTTGATTATCACCTCCAAGAGCTCTTGTTCGCCAGGGCTTTAAATCATTTCTGAGATCCCTGAGGTCCCACATGGGATGAAGAAGTAAGTATTCTCTCTGATGAGCATTAAACATGTGCTTCTCTAAAAGAGAATTAGTGCATGTGAGCTATTTGCTGGTGTGTGATTGTTAAGAGCCGCTGTCAACATTTTAGCAAGATAACAAGTAACAGCCGTTACAAATAGCATCATCATCATTATTATTATGATTTGGCTTTCTTCAGGCGCCTTCCTAGTTGGGGATTTAAAGATGTTTCTAATTAGTCAGCATTTCTGGCTCTGAAGATGACACGCTCAGACTCCCGTCCTAGGGATGTCTATCTGCAGGGCTTCTCTAGAGTTTATCCTGGGGAGAGCACCATCTCCATGCCCCTTGTGAAGGTCATATGCTCTGCTGTGAGTGCAGGAGTGAGCTAGAGAGGGAGGCAGAAAAGAGTGTGTGTGTGTGTGGGGGGGGGTGTCTTGGGGACCAGCTTGTGTTAACATGTTGTTTATAGGAGCTAGCCCTCTTAGAGGGGAGACCTTTACTGGAGGCTCACTGACTTGTCTCATGCTATTGGCTGGACACGCCAAGTCCTGTTTCCTTCTCTGCCTTGTCCAGGCACAGTGGTCCACAGCTACTGGCTGGCACCAGGAGTTTTTACAGCCCTACTTACACTGCCAGGCACCTGGAGTTATTGTTTCTTTGGTGGGTTGAGCTTCAGAGATGGGTAATGCACAATGAAGAAAGATTTGGTGGTAAGTGAATGTGTCATTCTTTCTAGATTGACCGTGAAAATCAGGTCCTGTAAAAATGAAAAGATTCAGCCTTAAATTTTTTTTTTTAAGCAAACATAGGTGGGTAACATGCCCCTTGCTTCTCTCTTAGTTGCTCCATTGCATGCCTGCTGTAATAATCTTTGAAGCTATTTGAACTACTTACCATTCATTTTATGAAAATTGGCAGAAATGGGAGACTGTTCTAAAACTTTGACATCAGAGACCCTATGTGGGAAGCATTCCCCCATGCTGGTTCCTTTCACTGTCCTTTATGGCAAAGGAGATGCCAAAACTGGCGCCATTCTTTTCTTTTCCTCATTCTTTTCCTTTCCTTTTTCTACAGGAGAGACCTAGCCATTTTAATTCAATTGTTTCCTACTGCCTTCTCAAATCTTTCCTTTCTTCTTTGTTTTCTCTTCAGAGCTGCTGCTCCTGCCCTGCTGATGGAGGGCTGACTTCTATCAGATCTTCCTGGTTCCTTCCTCAGTTTCCTGGCCCCAGTTCACTTTCTCCAAGCCCTTGATAAAGCAGCACAGCCCTCAAGTTTGGAGTAAGGTGCTACCAAAACTAGGCAGCATCTGTGATTTAGACTCCAGAGGTTCTTTCAGGAGGGAATCTTCATTAGGAAATGGGTTTGGACTGGTGCTTGTTTGGCATCAGAGCAGAAGGAAGGACAGGGCCACAAACTAATAATCTTCCCAGAAAAGAAACAACAAAGGCCTGGTCAAAGATATGAAAACATGGAGGAGACGCAAATGTGAAGGAGAAACAAAGAAAAGAGGGAGGGAGGAGTGTACTCCCCAGAAATGAGCTGTTGCTTTAAGCGGGGGGTGAAATAGTGTTAGATGTAACTGGTGCTGTGGCATAAGTGGTGAAGGTGCCCTGAGACAAGGTGGCAGAAACATGGGGATAATTGCCTCTGGACGCCTGTACCAGAACAAAGAGCTATCTCAGGAAGAAACTCATTTGCCCTAGGAAGAAGTTACCCTGAATGGGAACTGGTTATGGCAGGTTTACGTCAGTGCAAGGGGTTGCATCACGTGATTACAACTTTTTTCCCTCACTGTAGGGTATCTAGGGATTTCCTGGCTGATTCTGTTCTTGCTTTTTCCCCTGGATGCTGGAGATCTCTCTATAGGTGCTTGTGAACTGCTCTGGTGGAAAAGCATAGACCTGGGCAAATTAAGGGCAAATGCATTCAGAGCAACTAAGGTGATTTGGGAGCATTAATTAGTGCCTTCAGTGGAAGATGAGGGTTGATTTCCATTGTGGCTGCCTCTTGAAGGCATGATGGCATCTGGTGAGATCTGCTGTCTTCATGGAAGCAATGAAATGAGATGCTGCACTGGAGGAGTACCATGTACCTGGCAAGAATGCTTTGCCCTGCTGCGTTGCTTCGTTAAGGCTCTCTTGTCTTCCAGTTGTTAGTCGTCCCTTTGTTACTTGGTTTTGTGGAAGAGATTATAACCAGCTGAGGAGATAGGGCAACACAAAAGGCCAGGCTGCCTTCATATACCACTGTGTTATTCCTTTGTCTTGTCCTCCTTCCAAACCCATGGCCATCAAGGCCATACAATGGAGAGCAGGCAGGAGCCTCCTTTATGGCAGGAGGAGCAGCCAGGGCTGGACTTGGGCAAGTGAAGTTGCCTAATCCTGGAATTGCTCTGTATCCACTGTGGGGAAAAAACAAGGGCTGGAGCCTGGAGTCTAGGACTGTTCCCAGCTCTGTTCCCATCTCTCTGATGATCTTGAACAGATGACCCTCAGTTGCTCAGACTTATTTGTCCTCTGTATACAACCATTGCAATGATGCAGTGCCAGTTTCAAAGCACTTTGAAAGCCTTGTCAAACAGTGAAGTAAGAAATGCAAAGCACACTTGATGTATTCGAGGAGAGCAAAGGCACTGGGGCTGGAGGGCT